TAGTAATGGGAAGGAAAAAAAACAGGAGGATATTTGGAGAGAATCATAAGGCCAAAAATAATTTTGCAGAATAGAAGAGATTATAAAATACTTGTAGATTGAGGGAATGGATTTACTGGAAAGGGAGAAAGAAGGGTTCCTTAGATCTCAGAGGAGGCAGTGTAGTGTAGGTCATGAGTTTAGAAACAAGTGATGAGGTTAGCCTTGCAGAGCAGCCGACAGGGGGTGGGGGGGTGGGGGGGTGGAATGTGTGAAGACGCAGGTTTATAATATAGCCACGAGAGAAAAAATAAGGAGCTTTGTGTGGGATAGGCTCACAAGGTAATCTTAGGCATTGTCACCTTCGGAAAGAATGGACCAGAGAGGATGTCTAGTGGGTGGACTTGGATTCTTTGAGGAGAGGAGAAAATGTACAAGGTAAGTGAATGAGGAATGCGGTGTAGTAGGTCAGTCATTCAACCCAGCGCTTAGCACCTAGAAGGCATTCGGAAGTTACATGGAATGAATGAATGAGCCGCAGGAAGGGCTGTGTTAAGAGTGGGATACACAGACAAGGTTACTTTGTTCCCTCCTGGGCTCACCAGCAGGGGTGAACAATGGATCACAGCTGCTTGCTAAGCCTTGCAGAGTAAATGGGAAGGAACACCTGGAAGGGAGGAGGAGGAAGGGCTAGGAAGGAGATAGCAGAAAATGCTTCCTAAAAAGTAACCTTTGAACCAGTCTTTGAAGGTTAAGTACAAGTTCACCAGAAAGACAGGATGAAGAACAGCCTTCCAGGCAGAGGCACTGAAATGTCAGCACTGAGTGGAAGTTAATTGGTGTAATTTGTAAAGGAACCAGTTTCATAACTTTCTGCAGCTATGCCGTGCACTTCAAAAGCTGAAGAGAAAAAGGTAAGGGATTGGCAAGACAGGAATGTCCTAAGAACAAGTTGGTGGTGAGCAAATCTGGGACACTGAGGAGGAAAATCACTGAAATGCCTGTCAGGTGAGGCCCTGAATGGACTCTGAGGAAAGAACCTCAGACCACAGTACTAGACCTGGCAGCGAAGACTCCTCACAGATTCAGATGGAGGGAGGGAATGGAAGAGGCACTCGTGGTCTGAGTCGGAGTGCAGAGTTCATAGACCTAAGTGTGGAGCAGGGCAGATGGGTGGCAAGGCCCAGCCTTGGGTCCTGCCCATTTCCTGATTGAAGTAGGAAGGAGATGGAGCGCCTGTCTCGGTAGGTCTAGAGCATCTGTTCCCTTAGACAGAGTAAATGCCCTTTCTCCCTTAAGTTGTTTCATTGCATTCTCACACTGTGTTGTAATTGCCTAGGTTTTGTTGTTTTGTTTTTGTTTTTTGTCTTTCCCACTAATCTGTAAGTTTTTCGAGGCCAAAGGCTGTTCTTTTCACCATTATCTCAGCACAGCACCTAGCATGGAATATGTGCTCAATAAATATTTGTTGAACAAATGAATGATAGTGGGAGGAAGGTGAAGATGTGGTGTAAATTTTATGAATAAAAATATTGAAACTCCTGAAAATGAGGTCAAGGGGAAGGAGTGGTGGAGATCATCAAATTAAGTCCAGAGTGTTTAAGAAATTTGTAGAAGAAAGAAAGATGTGAAGGGCCTGGAAGCGGATTTGAGAAAAACAGGACGTGGCAATAAGGAGCAGTGATCTTTTTGGACTGTTTTTATTGCCTTCTGAGGTGATGGAGAGTGAGAAAAATTGTGAGCCCTAGTGAAGGAGGTAGTATCTTCTGGGGAGAAGCATTTTAATTAGTACTTAAAAGAATGAGTAGGAGTGTGAAGTGTATGTGTGGCAGGAGACCGGGCCTTCACGGCAGAAAGGAACATTATGTGTAAAGTCACAGAGAGGTGAGGAGTTGGTGTGGGCTCCGCCAGGTGTTCAGAATGGGTGAGTGAGGCAGGGACAGATGAAAAAAGATCACTTAGGTAGATGAACTGAACTGTAATCACTCAAGATAGGTGATAAGGCACCACTGAAGCATTTCAGGGAGAGTGACGTGATCGTATTTGCATTTTACGAAGTCCATTTGATGGAAGTGGTTTGGAGGATGAACTGAAGGGAGATAGGATCCAGAAGCACGAAGACCAGTGAGAAGGCTTTTGTTGTAGTAAGATTTGGAGAAGCTGGCTTTACAGGTGATAAAGAACAGGTGCTGTTTAAGAGGTAGGAGCCACTGTATGTACTTGGTGATAAATAGAATGTGGGGTCAAGGAAGGAATGTGGAGAATTTTGTAGGATTATAGGTTTCCTATTTGAGTATCTTAGTACATGATATAACAGAGATAGGGGATATAAAAAGGAGAAGAAATTTAAAGACAAAGTTGATGCTTCATTTTGGACCTATTGGGCCACCCAAGTGGAGAAGACTAGTATGCAAAATATGGGGGCTGGAGTTAAAGATTCAAAAGCCAGTAAAGGGGAGGTTGTTGAAGCTGTGGGCTTTTTGATTATTACTTCTCGTCATTGTGCTAATTAGAAATCAGCTATAAGAGAAAGAAAAATATCATATGATATCATTTATATGTGGAATCTTAAAAAAGAAAAGAAAAGGAGGACTCTAATGAACTTACCTACAAAACAGAAACAGACTCGCAGACAGTAAACAATCTTATGGTTACTGGAGAATGGGGCTGGGAAGGGATAAATTTGGGAGTTTGAGATTTGCAAATGTTAACCATTATATATAAAAATAGATAAAAACAAATTTCTTCTGTATAGCACAGGGAACTATATTCAGTATCTTGTAATAACCTTTAATGAAAAAAATATGAAAATGAATATATGTATGTATATGCATGACTGGGACATTATGCTATACACCAGAAATTGACACATTGTAACTTCAATTAAAAACAAAAGAAAAAAATTGGTTACAGATAAGCTTTTTTTTTTTTAAACTAGTAATTAGAGACTAAGTTCACAATTTAGAACTCTTTAATTGGAGAGGATTTTAAAAGATGAAGGATCAAGAAAATTTCTTAATATATGTAAGTGGGGGAATAGTCATTCTTGTCTTTGAGAAAATGATTTAGGTTTGAGCTTCCAAGGGACTTTACTAAGTTTAAACAGTTTGTCACCTTCTTTTTCTAATTACGGCATAACGTTTGTACAGTTAAGTGCATAAAATGCACAGTTCAGTGATTTTTTTTTCACATATGTGTAGTTTCTTGTAACCACAACCAAATCAAGATCATCTTAAGCTCCTCATAAAGTTCCTTTTGCAACATTGTAACCCTGGTTTTTCTTCTAGAGGTTTAGATCACTGTAAATTTAGGATGGGAGAATCCTCCCTCTACTTGGCAAAGCCTAGTAGGCTGTGGAGTCAGGAAGTCCATAAGAGAAGAATAAAAGTCAAAACCTGGTTTGAATTTCACAGTATGCAGTGTGTGTCTTTTATTATTCTTGTTTACACTTCCTCCAGTTTCTCCTTTTAATAGAAATAGAGTAAACCTCTTGATTTGTCTGTCCTTTTTGAAACAGCCTCTTAGTTGCATCCCATCTTCTCCAGTATTTCTGAGAAATGCAGACTGCAGAGGATTGCTGAGCTGGATAGCCTTTTGTTTTATTTGGGTTGCATTATGGTATGTATCTGCGTTGCTGCTGTCTGTCTTCCAGATTACTAGGTCCTGTAAGAAATGGATGATATTTTTCTAAGTAGGGAGTAATCCTTAAATGTATCTGTTGATATCTATCTCCTTGAATACATCTGTTTGACTCTTTAAAAGTATGCCTTTTGGGGGAGTTTTCATAGAACTGATAGTCCCAGTTTGTGGAGGTAGTTCTATACCTGTCATTTATCATCCTTTATTGGTCAGTAAATTACCTGGAATAGTAAAATGCTTTTTTCTTCCTTTGAAAATTTGTATTGAGAAATAAGCCATATATATAAAAGAGAAAAAAAGAATTAAAAGAATAATTATAAAACAAACACTCATATACCAACTACACAGGCCAAGGAATAGAACCTGTCTGTACCCCAAGACCCACCATATGCCCATTGTGAGTGAGTTCCCTCCTTGACTCCCTGTGATATTCATTAGCCTCAGTTTTGTAATGGTCAGTCCCTTTTCTTCATAGTTTTATAAACCATAAAGTTTCATGTATGTCTATAAATGTATACGTTTCAATTCTGTACTAATGGATTCATACTATATATGTATTCTTTTGTGAGTTGCTTCTTTCATCCAGTATTGCGCTTTTGTAGCTCATTCAGCTTGAGGTGTGTTGCTGTAGTACATTCATTTCCACGTAGTATAAGATTCTGTTGTCGTAAACACCACAGCCTATTTTTCTGTTTTACTGTTGTTATGTATTTTTTTTTCTCCTACTGAAAATTTTTTTTATATATGGGCAAAAGTTTCTCTAGGGTATATATATACCTAGAAGAGCAAACAATGGTTTGTACAGTAAATACATAGTCAAGTATACTAGATGATGGCAGACTTTTAAAAAGTTGTACCAGTTTTCCATCCCACCGGGAGTGGCTGAGTTACTGTTGCTCTGCACTCTTGGCAACATTTGGTATTGCCCACCTTTCTCATTTTAGCCAGCCTGGTTGTTATGAAATGGTATCTCTGTGGTTTTAATTTGCATTTTGATACGAGATTGAACATCTTTGCATGTTTAAGGCTGTTTACGTGTCCTCTTCAGTGAAACTCCTACTCAGTTATTTTGTAAATTTTTTTAGTTGATAGGTTGTCTTTTTTTTATTGATTCATAGCAATTCTTTATTATATTCTGAATGCTAATCTTTTGTCACAGTTATGAGCTGCAAATCAGCATGCTTCCTTTTTCACTCTGTAAGTATGGTCACCCAAGGAGAGATGCCATAAGTGAACCTGGAGTGTGAAAACCATTGGCTCAGGCTTCTGTCCTAGGCACTATAGTGACATGCCTTGTGGTTCTGCAGCGCAGGCCCTGGCACTTTGGAGTGACTTGCATCTTAGTTACTGACTCTGCTGACCTGTGATGCTTGCCTTTGCAGGTGGAACAGGAGGATTTTGTAATGGAAGGGCATGGCAAGACTCCACCTCCTGGTGAAGAAAGCAAACAGTGAGTCACAGTTTATTTAAAAAGGGTCTTATTACAGATCTTAGAAGCACTTTGGTTAAACATGCTGAGAGCATGTTTGCAGAGGATGTATATGTTGGGCACATTGTGGAGCTGACAAGTTGCTTTGGTGGCTGTTAATGCATTGCTTCTATTTATAGACAAACTAACTGGAGAGACAAGAAAGTTGGCTTTGTAGTTTTTCACACTCGACTAATCAAAATTTATGTTACGCTTTAGCAGAGGCTTTAAGGCTTAGGATGTTCCAAATTGAACTAATTCAGTCTGGTTGATTTCCAAAGAAAGTATAAAACGGTAATTCCTTTTCTTAGCAATGTCTTTATGAAGTAAACTAAATTAATAGACTGTTTATATGCATTCCAAGTGTGAATTTATTTGAATAGTACTTCCTAAAATTCTGTTTCATTTAGTTATTTATACTTCTGATCTTTGTTTAAATACAAATTGTTTCCCTAAAGGAATAGGAATTATAAATACTATAACTTATACAACATTCTAAATAATTCAGGATCTCTCCCCTGATTCTTAAAAAGTGATAAGTTTCCAACCTGAAACTGAGAGTCCTCTGGGTAGCTTTTTGGTGGCAATGAGTAGATTTTTTCCTCCCTCTGTCACAGAACTTGAAAAATTATGTTGCAGAGCAGACTGGTGTTTCATATGCCCTTTTAAAGGAAAAACAGTTAAGAGTGGCTTAAAGTACTGACATAACTACTATTTTTTTTATTCAGACAGTAGTCTTCTAAGTTGACTGGGACAGTGATTCATGGAATTTACTGAAAATCTGTAGAGAAACTCTTTTCTCTCATCCTTTTTTTCCACCTTGAAAATAATTCAGTTTTGGTCTGTCTTATAAAAATTATGTCTCCAAAACCCTTAGGAATGAATTATGCAGAATATGCTATGCTGCCACGAGGCCAGGTTCATTAAAGGAGAATGTTTGTCTTGTATTTGTTGTGAATGGAAACCAGGATATTTTCACAGCTGGTTTAATTTGCTAACCAGGCAGTTTTAAAAATAGCTTACAATATAAATTCTAACTTTGCTGTGTTCTGTCAAATGCACTTATATTCTGCCTGGGCAGATGGAATCAATTAATCTTTAGCAAATTAGAATGCCAAACATCTAGTCCCAGTAGAATTACAGGAACATTTCAGGTGCCCTGCTCCCTGCCTAGTCCCTTAACCCTACACTCCGATCAAAGGTATTATAATATAAAAATCATAGCTCCCATTTGATGAGGCTTTTCTGTACACAGAGTACTTTGCTTAATGCTTTATATGTTATTTCCATCCCTTACAGCTTCTCCTGTCTGTTCAAATATTGGAGTAGGTAACTTGCCCATGGTAATGCAGTTTGAAATGGAAGTTAGGATTTGAACCTGGATCTTTCTGACTTTAAAGTGTTTAATAATATCTCTCGAACCGAAATCCTTTGCCAACCTTGGGAGCTATGTTCCTGAAAAGTATTATGGTTAGCAAAACTGCAGCTGTTAAGATCAAAGTCTCATGGATAAGAGTGAATTGGGGGAAACAATGATAATGACATCAAGCCTGTTTTTAAAACACAGATGAAGATTCTATTCTCTGGAGGGTATTCATTTCACAAACAAACCTGTCTTTATCTTTAAAAACCTGCTCCAGTAACCCCTGTCCTGAATCAGCTTCTTTAGGTATTCAGGAAGCATTGCTGGGGCAGATTCTCCCACAAGTTTTGTGTTATACAAACTCTACTTCTTTCAGAGAGCTTCAAACAGCCCTGGCGGGCTTGAGACAGGTGTCACGGGTTGTATCCTTACCATTCTCCCTTGATTGTTTTGTTTTCACAAATCTCTGCCTTTTCACAGATGAATCTTGTTTTGCTTTGTTTTCCTGAGCTTGGTCTGCTATCATATATTGAAATGGTAAAGCAGAAGTGAATCTTCTTGCTAGGCCCTCCTCTGATAGACCTGCCTACCTCTTCTGTGGGAGTGGGGAGCAAAGATGCTGTGTTCTTTTGTTTAAGACAACAGAAATAAAAAGATTGAAAAATTTTATTTTTTATTTTTTGTGTCTCAACTGCTGTTAGCAAAGGATGATCAAATCCTGGATAGTAGGATATAGGAACTAAATACTATATTCTAGATACTGAGAGTGACATACTTCTGAATAACTTATGAAATTCCCATCTATTCTGTTATTTTTTTTAATTATAAAAGTAATACATGGTTGTCATAAAACATTTAAACAGTAAGTGTGGATTTAGAAATAAAAATGAGACTTTTTTCCCCCTCCTTCCCCTCCTAATCTTAAACATTTTCTGTATTTATTTTAAAAACAACCAGATTTTTTTCTAACATAATTCTTCTGAGACTTCCTTTTTTAATCTAACATCTTTATAATCTATTTCATTTTTTTTAAAGTTTTTTTTTTTTTTTTGCGGGGGG